TTCAGTCTGCAATTGGCTGTCCAGTGTCTCAGGAAGAGGTCTTTCCTTGACAACATTCTAGTTGTAGGTATGGGACTGGGATTAAATTCATGAGTGGATTATGGTACTGCGTTATTTAATATTTAGCTAAGGATAATGGTTAGTATACATATGGCTTTCCTTGAGCACTGAGTGTGCTGTGTATCCTTGTACCCCATGATATGTACCATTCCCCCTAAAATAAATCCTATGTTATTTGCAAATATGTATGCATGTTTGAGAAGACATAAAGAATAATGTTTAAATGAAAAGATGGAATTTATTTATTTAGAGAATTTGTAACCTGCCTGCTAATAGAAATCTTTTAAGTGACTTGCACAATAAAGTGTTGTATTGTACAGTGGCCTATTTTATATTTTATTTCCCTATTTAAATAACCTAAACTAGACAATAGAGGTCTAAATTATAGACACGTTTCTCTGCCACTGTCTACTGTCTCAACTCTGACTCAAAATAAATCTCAAGAAAAATTACCTTATTACCTGGATTTTCTGGAGAAGTCAAATGTTAGGCATGCATAGGACAAGATTTTGATAAATGTTTTGCTATAGTCCTAGATGATTTGTGCTAAATAGTGCATTTCAATTGGCATTCTGCCTAATTTCAGCCTGCACACCATTCCTAGGTGCCGTCTCATCATGACAATGACCTGATAAGATGAAGATTCTTTCAGCAGTAGTTTAATATTACAAAGCTTTAGACTGTTGTGAATACATCAGTTCAGCGGGAACTTTGGATTGCACATCCATGTGTGTAATTGACACAAAAGTATCCAGCTCTGGGATCATTTCAATAGACACTTAAAAATCAACCACATTTCATGTTCATATTTTTCCTTTTAAAATTTAAAACTGATTAATTTTAAAATATAAAGAAAACAAAGGAACTAAAATGCCTCTTTTGCAGTGCATTGATATAACGCATTAGGTGCATAGAAAAAAAACCACTTATCTAATTTCAGCATATTCCCGTGATCCAGTTTAGATAAAACTCCCCATGCAATAACTGTTCAGAGTAATTTTCTCCTCACCTGTCATTGTTAAAGAGACATTGTCCTTTCTTCAACTAGAGCAAGGTTTTTTTTATTCACTCTGCTGCAATCTAAGTTTTAAACTCATTAATATGCATTAACCTGCAAGATTCTTTCAGTTGACCTAGTTACATAACCACTTGTTACATGGATTTTTTTTTCTTTAAATAGCATATAATGTCTGTTTCTGGGTCAGTATAAAGAAGAAGAAATATTCATTTTGGTTCATTGTTTTGCAGAAAGTTGCTTTGCGTTGAATCACTTTTGCCACAAAACTCAAAACAAATCTGACTGGTTTTAATGTGGAACTGATTCCAGGAAATGGAGGTATTTTCTACCAAATTACCATCACCGTCCTATAATATCTGTAACATGCTATAACTTCATGTCTTCCATTTGAAGAGGAGGTGGCAAAGGTGACCAGGAGAGCTTTCACACAGCTCCAGTTTGTGCACCAGTTGCAATCTTTCCAGGATCATAACTCCCTGCTCTCACTTACCCAAACCCTGCTCATTTCTCACCTGGACTACTGCAATGCACTCTCCATGGGGCTACGCTTGACGTTGATTCACAAGCTTCAGCTGGTGCAAAGTGCAGCAGCGAGACCAGTCTTTGTGGGTACCTAGAATAGCCCCAATTATCCCTTTGCTCCACAAACTTTACTGGCTACCAGTCTGCTTCTGAGTGCAGTTCAAGGTGTCAAGTGGTGACCTTTAAAGGCTTAATGGGTCCAGATTATCTGATGAACTGCCTTGTCCTGCTAGGAAAAGCCCATCCTACTTCTGCTGGCAAAGGCCTATTTCAGATCCTGTCAAAGAACTCCAATGGGATCCAGATGTTCCAAAGGGAGGGCATTGCTCTGCTATAGTGCCTGCCCTTTGGAACATCTTACCCTCTAGGTGGCCCCTACCCTATCCTTCCAGAGCCTGAAGACCTGGGTCTACCGGTTAGCCTGAGGAACAAAGGGGGGGGGGGTATTTCAATGCTGGAGGTGTTAAGGCCATTTAAGAAGAGACTCAAGGTGGCTGCTGGATACATAGTAGACCTCTCCCCTTCCTCTGCTCTCCATCCATCCATTTTTTGGTTATCATATTAATGTATTATTCTTGTGTTATTTTCATTGTTTATATTATGGTACTATTATTTTACTTCTGGTCTACTTACACTTTATTTTCTGCCTTTGTATTATTGAAAGCCACCTGGAATAGCTTCATAGCGAGATAGGCGGCAAATAAATTTGACAAATAATTTGTTGGTTTTTTTACTTTTAAAAAACTGGGTTCCTGATAAAATAATCATTAGCATACTGGACTCAAAATGTTTCTTCCAATTGCTTTAAAATCCCAATGTCCATGAAATATTTTAACTCTCAGCCTATTCTCTCAATCTAGTAAGATTTTTAGGGTGCCTAATGTCATTCTAAAAACTATATTTTAGGAAAGTAGCATTTTCTACAAGTCCTAGAAAGGTCTGTGTTATTGCCTGTTGGGAATTGTGTTTAAGTCAACATTATAATTTGAGAGTCAGTTTGATGTAGTGGCTAAGGCACCAAGCCAGAACTCAGAAGAATGAATTTTTTTCCTGCCTCGAGCACAGGACCAAGTAATCTTGGGCCAATTATTCATTCACAGCGCTAGGAAGGAGGCAATGGCAAACCACTTCCGAAATCTTGCCAAGAAAACTGTGAGGAATTGTCCAAGCAGTTGTCAAGAATCAACACTGACTCAAAGGAGCATGAATGCGCACACACAAAGATACAATTTACAAATCTTTCCCATTTGGGCCGTATTCTCTTTTTTGCTTCCTTTCACATAAACCAAAATTAACAAATATCAAAACAGTACTGTGGAATCGCTAAGAAAACTTTTTCAATGGCATATTTATTAAAACTCAAAAATTAAAATTTTTGATAATTTATATCCCAATCAAATTGTCAGTTTGTATGCTTTTCAATTGATGTAACACTTATGACCAAAGCTAAACAATTAAAGTCACTAATACAAAAATCAATATATCCCAATCATAACTCAACATTTTTGCTAACTTTTTTCATTTATCTGTCCACAAAATTGTAATAGAACAGATCCCAATTATTGTGCCAGTGCAACATATCTTACAAAATGTCTGCGAACAAACTTAAGAGCTAGAAGTTAGAAGACAAGAGCTGTTTGTAAGCCTTTCTTTTTATTGTAAGGGATGTTTGTTTTCTTTTTAAGCCTTTGTCAATGTGCATAGAGAAAAGGAAGAATCTAGAGCCATTTTAAACCTTGTATACTTATGACATCTGCCAATATGTTTATTTTTGTGGCTGCTTCCTCCCAAGCTTTATCTGAATTTGATGCACATATTGTAGACAGCACAGTAGATGACTGGCCACATCAACTAACTGACCTCTATCTTTTCCTAGTCACTCTACTATTAGAAGGAACAGAAAAGCAAAATAAACATCAACGTAGTAGATTCTAAGGCAACAGATGTAAGAATTTTTAATGTCTTCAATTCAAATCCACATAATATTTAACTCTATCATATTGACACTCTGATCTTGAACATATTATTTTGAATTTGTATTTTACATCTTGACAGAATTTTACAGTGTCCAGGATGGCAGCATATACAGTTACAGTACTTACTGCAACTGTTATGATACAACATACAATTTTTTTTCTTAAAAGTAAGCTATATTTAAAAAGCCAATATTTATTTCCATTTTGCCGATAGGTTTCATACATACAAAATCAACATCTTGTGCAACTTTTATCTCCAGAATTATTTTCTGCAATGAGTAACGTTTGAATAGTCTTGTGTCTCCTCAATGTGCAATTAGGAGTTTTACAACTTCCTCTGTTTATGTCGTGGGAAAGTTTTACAATATATATACAAACGGCCTTTTTTGCGAACAAAGTAGCAATCTTTGCAGCGCTTCTTGATGACCATCTTGCACTTCATACCAGCAACAGGCTGCAAATTGTAATGTGGGCAACATGAGAGAAAAGGCAAAAGATGTGCCTTAAGTGACTTGGTAGCAGGTGGGCCAAGCAAGGGAATGACAGTATTTGGACATCTCAGGAGCCAGGAAGAAAATGAGCGGGAGGCCGAGCTGCAGTTCAGGGACCAAGTTGTTTTGGCTGTTGCGGCCAACAAACCTCGCAAGAGCAGGGACGACATGCTGAAGCTGTTGCAAGCAACCTAAAAAGGAAAATATAAAGACCACATTAGAGTTAACTACCCAACTCTGTTCCTACAGTCTCTTTCGAGGTTATCTGATAACGCAGAGGACAAAACTGTAGACTTGCACCACCATTTTCTACGCAACTTTAAAAAGCGACGTGCAATTATGGGCCACCATATCCAAAGAAACTAAATGGATATTGGTATCTTGAACATGCAATTCGGAAGAAGTCTGAATTGGATGTTCTTGCGCAGTAAACTACCTTTAGAGCAGTGTTTCTCAACCTTGACAATTTTAAGGCATGTGGACTTCAACTCAATTCCACAGCAATGCTGGCTGTGGAATTCTGGGAATTGAAGTCGACATGCCTTAAAATTGTCAAGGTTGAGAAACACTGCTTTAGAGATCCAAACGCGCATGCGCAGGTTCGGGCTCTTAGCTTTCAGGGGAACCGCAAAACGAGAACCGCAGTTCTGTTCTTCCCCCGCTTCCGAATCCTACCGCCAAATCAGCCCTTTTGCCCGCGGAATTAAAGCTACACCGTTAACAGCAGCATCGCTAACCTTACAGCCCCCAACACAACGCCGAGCTTCAGGGTCAGCAGCGGCCTAGTAAGCAGGCCAGTACTTCAACAACGTGGGGTTTTTTTTTTACGTTTTTGCGTATAGCGTCAGACGTTGGTGGGAGGGGTATTAGTTTCGCTCGGCCAACCGGCTGCCTCGGCGGCTCGCGCCCGCGCAGTAGCTTTGTTTGTGGGCGGAGTCGGGGAAAGGCTAGAGGGGGTTACCGAAATGGCGGCGGCCGCCTTGCCCTTGCGAGGGGCGTTGCGGGCGGGATTTATTTCGCTGGGGGGTAAATTGTCTCCGGCTGCTGTGCGAATTACCTTGCGGAGGAATTATGGAGTCGTCACAAGTCAGGCGGGCGAGAAGGTGACGCACACGGGTCAGGTAAGTAAAGTTCGACCTACACCCCCCCCTTTAATTTCGTCTTCGGAAGGTCCGACCTGCCTCCTCCGTCTTCTTAAGCGGCATCCGCTTCTTAGCTGTCCGTCGCTCCGGGTCGGTTTGTAGTCGGGATATTTTGGACCCAGGAAAATTCTGCTTGAAGGTTGCGGCTGCTGCGTTGGCTTTGAGGTTTAAATGACTGAAAATTAATAGCCGTCTTGAAAGGAAGCATGTAAGTCAGTGTTTCTCAACCTTGACAATTTTAAGGCATGTGGACTTCAACTCCCAGAATTCCACAGCCAGCATTGCTGGCTGTGGAATTCTGGGAGTTGAAGTCCACATGCCTTAAAATTGTCAAGGTTGAGAAACACTGTGTTAGGGGAATAAACTGGATATTCCACCAGCAGGAGATTAAAACTTCAAAAGGAAAATAAAAGAGATGGCAGAAGGTGGATTCTTTATGCCCATCTTCGCTGAGGATGCACAAATATGAAAATAAAATAAAAACTCAAAAGGGCAGAGTCGATGGACCACTAGGTCTTTTTCTGCTGTCGGTTTTCTGTGTTTCTATCTTTTTAAGATAGAGGCCCAGAGTTGTTTTTTCAAACCGCAGTAATAATAGATGACTTGAGTACTTCTTGACAAATCATCATATCCATATTATAGCCATTCTAAAGTTATAAAAGGACTCAAATATAAAACTGAAGAACTTACAAAGCATGTTGTGCTATCCCCCCAAAATTGGTTAGTAGGCAAAGTCTACTAAGTCAGTCACTGAATGTTTTTCCCTGTCCATTATAGATACCTGATATGAACTGTGAAAATAACAAAACGTGTGTCATTATATCCTAGTGCAAACCCTGGTCTTTTGTAGTTACGTTGCTATGTCATGCATAAGTACATAAGGCCTCTAGTGTGGCAGTGCTTGTTTTGTTGTTAGACTAACAAGCTTTAAAAGGAGAAGGCATTCTTTAATCTTAATTGAGAGTGGAACATTTGATCTGAAAAATAATACATGTACAGTTAATTGGCTATTGATTTAGAAATTTTATTTGCTGCTTTCATATGCAGTTTACAAAATACAGCTAAAACAGTCATTAAGGATACCACTAAAAAAGAAAAATGAAGCATTTAGACTTACATACTGCTTGACAGTGCTTTACAGCCCCTCTCTAAGCAGTTTACAGAGTCAGCATATTGCCCCCAACAATCTGGATCCTCATTTTACTGACCTTGGAAGGATGGAAGACTGAGTTAACCTTGAGCCGGTGAGCATGGAACTGCAGAACTGCTATCAGCCGGCAGTCAGCAGAAATAGCCTGCAATACTGCATTCTAATCACTACACCACCATGGCTCTTATAAAACTAATAAGTGCAAATATCAAGGCACTGAACATTAAGAAGCCTCAGTCAGAATATGATTATTGACCCATCCTAACTTGTTATAGGGAAGGGGCTAGCTTTAACTCTGTTGTTGGTTTGCTCCATAACATAGTGCCTGCCATAGAAAAAGTAAGATTATTGTCAAATGCATTTGTGGTAGGTTCCACAGCAGGTGCATATTGATTAATTAATTGAATGCTGCTTCTACTACCGGTAGCAATTTGGGGCTGAGCCTTTTAAGATTTTAATCACTCTAATGACAACATGGATTGGGCTTAAAAGATGAGCCAAAGATCCTGTTTCGACGGAAGAGTTATGTGGAATTTTCAAGGGCTCATCACATACACTGCTGCATTTTATATGAAGAACATTTTGCATACCTGTATCTCAAGATTACCAGCGTGAGTCACTGAGTCAAGATTTTTAGGTATTCATGAATCTGGTTTATCAGCCAAAGCTTATAAAATATCTTCCTTACAATAAAAGTTATGGATTGTTCAAGGTCAGTGACCAATTCAGAAGGAACCCTGTCAACAAACTGAATTTTTAATGGAGATTGCAGCCACGTGCCTATAAATCCTGAAGTACAACTACTGCAATCTTTTTCACATTTACAAGTAGTCCTCAAATTACAACCATAATTGAGTCCAGAATTACAATCATAAGTTGTGATTAAGTGGATCATCCCAGGACCATGCCCAATTTTACAATCTATTTGCTGCAGTTGTTAAACTAACATTGCAGGTCATTAAGTGAACGCATTTTCCCCAATGAACATTTTCAGCCAGAAACCAGAAGTAAATTCTGGAAACTGGCAAAAGATGCCAAAAATTGTAGTCATTGACTCCAATAAACTGCAAATGGCCATAAATGCAAGCCAGTTCTGACATGGAATCACATGATTGTATGTGTGTAGACCATTGGAACTTCAAAATTGAGCGACTGGGCTCTGGGAGGATCTGTTGTAATTTCAACTGGTAGCTAAGTGACTGATTATTAAGCAAAGGCTACCTATAGTTTGTTTCTTGCATCCAGATATTCATAGCTGTTTCTGCATGAAATTACCTCTATGTGTATCTTATTCTGGCACACTGGCAGCATGACATGTTTTAAAAAATGTTTGGGTGAAAAAATAACCATCTTTTCCTAATATCTTTTAATACAAGGATTTATTGTTTCAGGGTGAGTAAGTTAATAATTCTAAATCACCAGCCCTTTAAAATAATTTAAATAAAAGTCATCTGGCAGAAAGTAACATGCAACTGATTTAGGTGTTCCAATCTCCAACCAGTTTGAATCAATTGATAGGTTGAAAAAGCATAGTAAGCTTATTCAAAGTAGAACAAACACAATTTATTTGTATATTTGGCTTCATCCATTATATTTGGTATAATGGTATCAATAATATTGAATTTTATATGAAAAATATACATGAAATAGAGCTAAATATTTTCCATATCTAGCAGCATTCATTTGTAAAGTAATGTAAAGATCTTTTCTATTTAATACTGAATATATTGTTTTCCATAAAATATTTGTTCTCTTGCTCTATAGCATCAGAATATCTGAAAATGCTAGTCATTGTACTACTAACCGTATTTTTTGTCCCATTCCACATTCCTGAAATCAGAATTGATGTTCTTTTCAATATATTCCTTCTTTAATTATAGGTTTATGAAGAAAAAGACTACAGGAGGGTTCGATTTGTTGGGCGACAAAAAGAGGTAAAATCTGTGTCAGAAATGTTTACTGTGAATCTGTAGTTTCTCCAGGTATTGATGAAATGTTCAGTGACTTCAGTGTAAAATGTCATTGTCTTGTGAGCAAACAGTTGATGTCTTAATCAATAAACCTATTAGTTAGCTCATTTCATTTCCTCAAATGACAGTAAGCTTGCATGTAATACAGTTGAAAGGACTTATAACTTATGGGAGTTGGTAAACCCATTGTAAAAAAACTATGTCATAGATGAAAAACATCCTGGTGCTATTCACATATTTCATACTGATTATTTCAACACAAATACAATTTAGACACATCTAAAATAATCTAGCAAAGTTAATTGGCATTTTATTTAAACTAATTGAGTTCTTTCCTTGTGACGTTATATATGCTAAGAATCTCCTTCTCATTGATGATTGCTCCTGGCAACTTCCTAGAATTCTGTACTTTCTTAGCAAGATTTTTTGTTTACCATTGACTTCTTCCTTGGGCTGAGAGAAATCAACCCATTTAAACACAAAGTTGGCGTCATGCTTAAAACAGGACTGGAACTCATGATCTCCTAGCTTCTATCCTGGTGCCTTAAACCACTACAGCAGACATGTCAAACTCGTGACATCATGTGACGTCGCGAGACGCATCGGAACTTTTTCCCCATTGCCGGCAATAGGGTGGGCGTGGTTTCCTCGTGACACCTCCAGCCTGCAGGCCGGCAGTTTGACACCCCTGCATTACAGCAAACTGGCTCTGTAGAGATCCATAGTGAAAATTAAATTTGGATCTAATGTGATGTAGCTCACATATTAGTTGGGGACCATATTTTAATGTTCAGCTGTCCCATGGGATATTGCAGATATGTTTTTCTTACACCTTCCAAATCATTGTTCAGTTGGTACTATTTTAAATATATATTCAAATAATATACTTGAAGGGAATTCCTTATCCTTTTTCCTGCCCAGGAAGCCAAAAGAGATGCCTGGGATCTGGGGTAGGTAGTTGCAGCAGGAGTGTTTAAAATCAAGCGGGGACAATTTCCATTGATTAATTTCCATAAATTAATTAACTTTTAAAGACTTTCTTAAAAATGTAGTGGCAGTACTCATGTCTCTTCTGACTTTGCCACCCTGTTATTTAAATATACTTTTATCCTTTTGGCTCATCCATAATATTAAAATGCAATTCGATCTTTATTATGTAAATTCTGTTGCAGTAGGGCAACATTTTCTTCTCTAGGTTAAAAATGATGCACAGCATTCAGGATTACAGAATGTGGGGGAAAAAGAAAGCAAGCTTCAAATATCCCAAAAAAAAATAAATTAGTGAAACAGATTTATTACTGAAGGCAGCCAATCAATTACTACTCTCTATTAGAATGTTGCGATGACTGCTTGTATCTCTACTGCTTAACAAAGTGTATTGCTTGAATTGTTATATAGTGAAACATCTTTCTATTTTGCTGTTGTAGGTCAATGAAAACTTTGCAATTGATTTAATTGCTGAACAACCTGTGAGTGAAGTTGAAACTAGAGTTGTATGGTGTGATGGTGGTGGAGGAGCTTTGGGCCATCCTAAAGTGTATATAAATTTGGTAATGTAATTCAGTTGTCCATATTATCCTGTTTAAAAAAATAAGTATGGAACAGGCTATTTTTTAGCTATTTTTCTATTTATCATGGAAGTGAAAAAACATATTGTCAAGCATTTAATAATCCGCAGTTATAGTTGTATTTAGTTTTGTGGGTCACTAGACTAGAATTATGTGCATTTCCAAGGATTGTTTAAGTGTAATCCATTGTTCATTATCCATTTTGTATTAACCCGTATTCACATCTGTTTTTATTCTCATTATTTTGCTACTTGCAGAAATTTATATGGTTTTTTTTTTTAACGGAATGTCTTTTGGACTGCACTGGTTCTCAAACTCTAGGAGTTCCCATGATCCATTTAGGGGATCTGTGAAATCAAACAATATTTTTAAATTTCTCAGTTGTAATATCAGTAGATATAACGTACATAAACCAAAGCTGTTTGGGATTCTCAATCATGTAAAGGGGGTGGACATCAAAATGTTTGAGAACTGCTGTTCAATAGTTTGCAGTCTTTTTAATGGAAGAAGAAATCAAATAGTTAAATATATTTAAATATTTAATTTAGAAGGCAAGAGTAGTTGGAAGATGAACAATGGGCAGTTAGTGGAGCAGGGTTCAAGTAATATTAGGATATAACTTGGGAGAGCTAAAGCCTTCAATAAAGACATGAAAATAATTGTTAGTTAATATAATAAAGGATACACAGGTAAATCCTCGACTTACGGCCATAATTGAGCCCAAATTTTCTGCTGCTAAGCAAGGCAGATGTTAAGTGAGTTTTTCTGCATTTTACAACCTTTTTGGCCACAGTTGTTAAGAGAATCACTGCAGTTAAGTGAATCATGTGGTTATTAAGTGAGCCTGGTTTCCTCCATTGACTTTGCTTGTCAGAAGCCAGTTGGGAAAGTTACAAATGGTGATTATATGACCCTGGGGACAGTGCAACTGTCATAAATACATGCCAGTTGCCAAGCATCCAAATTTTGATCACATGACTGTGGGGAGGCTACAGTGGTCATAAATGATTATAGGTCACTTTTTTCAGTGCCTTTGTAACTTCCAAGGATCACTAAATGAATGGTTTAAGTCAAGATTGTACTTCAGTTCAATTAAAGAATGACAGGCTTAAGAGTTTAAAAATAATTTTTCATTGACAGGGAATTTATATGAACATATAAATTTACAGAAATGATAAAATTGTATTTTATTTTTACCATTTATATTTGCAGGACAAAGATACACAAACAGGAACTTGTGGTTACTGTGGACTTCAGTTTAAGCAGAAGCATCATCATTGACATGTATCTTTCTGACTATGAACTTCTTTTTTTGTTATAGAATAAAATACATATTTAAAAACCATTGTGGATACCTTTCTTAATTCTATTTTTTACCCCGAAAGAGAACATAACAGAGGTAGAATTATTTATTTCATCCTTAGCTGTTGAAAGATACTGATATAAAATTAGAATTGTCCATTAAAAAGAGCCTATAGATCACGTCCCTGTATCCAATGACTTAGTTCAGATTTATAACTAAGATTTAGTTATATAGTGATCTTGAGCATTATGCTTTTTCTTCACTTCTCCCAGTTGAAAATTCAAAAGCTTTATGATGAATTTTGAAATAATTGCAATTCAGTATTATGACTGAATGTTCTGTGGTTAACTAAGTGTTGGTTTATTTAGGTATGCCACAGATAATCTCATACTGAATGTATTAAGTTTCCTTATTTCAACAAATAATAGCTTAGGTTAACTACCTCGTACTGACATGGGGTACATACGGTCAAGGTTATATAGTTTTCCTTGTTGAAATATTTTGCTGTGAAAACTGGATCATCAAAAAGGCTGAATAAAGAAAAATGGATACTTTTGAATTATACTGCTGAAGAAAAGTCAAGAGTCCCTTAAGAAGATACCATAAGAAGTCATTCAGTACTAGATGAAGAAAAGTACTAGATGGAGATAAGAACAATTAAGCTAAAACTCAACTATTCGTGTCACGTAATCCATAAGTGAGGATTATTAGAAGGGATGCTCATAGGTGGAAAAATCAAATGCAGTTGAAATTGAGGTTGGAGAAAACAAGTATCTAAATGCTCTTATAGCACAAGCATAAGAGTTGAAGCATCAGACTTCAACTGAACCCTCATAAGACAGAGTAGCTGTGGGTGGGCCCCTCTATCCAGAAGCTTATCATCTGATCTAACCCAGTGATGGCGAACCTTTTAGATACTGAGTGCCCAAAAACTGGCGCCAACCCCACTCAACCCCCTGCCCTGCCCCCGCTCTGCCCCCCATCTCCTGCCCAGCAGTGCTATGGCAGCCAAAACCTCTGCCCGCGCCCTGCAGCATCAACTGCATGATGGGGTGTGAGGGCAGCGTCTTGTCTGTGCTGCCTGGCTGCCATGTCCTTGGCTGCGCTGCTCCGTGTGGGCCATGCTCGGGGGTGATTCTCTTCAGGGGGGCTGCTGGAGAGGAGGTCACGGGGAGAGGCAAGGCTGGGGCAACGGCACGTGTGCCCACAGAGAGGGCTCTGAGTGCCGCCTCTGGCACTCGTGCCACAGGTTCGCCACCACTGATCTAACCTAAACAGACTGCTGTGTAACTTAGGAATCCTCTTGGACTTCTGGCTCCTGCTCAAAGAGGGTTCAAATCTTGGCTCTGCAACCTCACATGGGCACGGAGGATGATGCAACCATAGGGCTGATTGGCCCCATGAGAGCTCCCCCCCCCATTAACTAATACTAAATGGTTATCTTGGATTTTTCTTTGAAATTTTATGTCATAATCTTATAATTGAAATTCTATTTATCTGAAAGTATTTAATATTGTAATGTTAATTTTATACATTCATATATTGATTGTATTGTACTGCCCAGAGCCCCTCTCTGAGGGAGATTAGAAATATTAAGTAAATAGATAAATAAGTAAATAAATCAGAAAGCAAGCAGGCTTACAAGAAATTGAATAATTACCAAACAATCCTGGCAAAATAATATCTATAAGGTCATGAAAAGTCAGAAATGACTGAACAAAAATGTGTAGGTAAGCAAAGCTGATTATTTGAAGTAGTGCAATTTTACAATCTTGTTGGAAATCCCCCCAAGAAAGTACCATAGGATCTTATGATCTTAAAGTTTGTTCATATAAGTTAAATTCTGGTTTAATGTTGCATTGAAAGAGGCTATTAAGTCAATGTATTTCAAATTTCTATGCCTTCCGGAATTGCTTTATTTAGAGAAATAAGATTTGACTTGATCTGCTAAATAGATGTTGGATTAATATTCAAATTACTTGTGTTAATTGAACCCTTTCCAATTTGATTTTTGTTCCAGGAACTTTTTGTTTATCTGTCATGGAAATAAAATAATTTTGAGAGCATTCTAGGGTGTGCATTCAGGATTATATTTCCAAGCTATGCAGCCATTTCTCATAAAAGTGAGCTTGTCATTACTGATCTTCCACTGAGGTACAGTTGCTCAGAATATAGTTTACAAATCTTTGTAGTAGTAGGCATAGTAGAGAAATGTTAGAACATGTTATTTTAATTGCTCAATGTTGGTGGCTCATAATAATTTCACACCTTTTATCATTTTTTGATTACTATTTCTGATAATACAACAGAAATAAGAATTTTATCCAAATCTTACAAGGAGGTCCTAAAAGAACCAGCTGCTAAATTACATTATGTGCAATCTAGGAATTGTATTCAATAGCAGAGTGCAAATCTGCCCAGATTTCAAAGATGAAATCTTCCAAGTTCCAGGACCTGTGAGGCCCCAAACCCACAGCTGTTCAGACTTGGTGTGGCTGGGTTGAAGCCAGTTCTTCCCCATCCAGATTCATATAGTCTCTAGACAATAAACAACTTTAACCATTCATTTGGGTGCCCGGGGCAGAGACACACAATTGAGTATCTGATAATATTAGGGGTGACCTCCAGTGGCTTTATGCAGATTTTTTAAAAATAGGAAATTGTGATTTAGCACAGTTCCAATGAAGAAGAAAAATAAGATATTTCTAAAGAAACTCTGATAAACTGAAAAACAAAAAGGACAAGTATAAAAAGTGGAAAGAGGGGCATATAACCAAGGCAGAATATCAGCATATAGTCCAAATCTGCAAAAATGAAGCCAGGAAAGCTAAGACTCAAAATGAACTAAGGTTTGCAACAAAAAGCAAAAATAACAACATAAAAAAGGTTCTCTCAACATATAAAAAACAAAAAAGTCAAGGAAATGATTTATAGGAGAAAATGGCAAGGTGACGAGCAACAGGGAGAAAGCAGAACTGCTTAACTTGTTTTTTGCATCTATCTTTATAGAAAAGGAAAAAAACAATCCAACCTATCAAAAAAACAATACTATGAAATACAGATTAGGAATGCAAGTCAAAATAAGCAATAAAATCATAATAGAACACATATCTGTTCTAGATGAGGTAAAATCACCAGGATCAGATGGATTACACCCAAGGTTCTGAAGGAATTGGCAGATGTGCTCTCAGAACCACTGAACTATATATTTCAAAGATCCTTGAGCACTGGGGAACTACCAGCTAACTAGAAAAGGGCTGATGTAGTTCCCATCTTGAAAAAAGGGGGAAAATGGATCCAGGAAAGAACTCTCAGCCTGACATCAATGCCTGGGAAGATTCTGGAAAAGTTAAACAACAAATCAAAAATGGGATAAAAGGGGAACCCAACAAATTTGCAACTGACACCAAGCTGTCAGGAATAGCCAACACTCCAGAAGATAGGCTGAAGATCCAGATGGATCTAGACACACTTGAATACTGGGTCCTATTTAACAAAATGAAATTCAGAAATTCACTCTTGAATAAATAGATTTTAGTGTACTTATGTAACTCCTATTTGCCCTGTATCAGTAAGGCATTGTGAGAGCTTCAGTTTAGGTATTGCATTTCGAATATTTTCTTCTTTAGTGTAAGAACATTGTAATCTTATAATGGAATCATTGGGGTGCTAAAAAGGGGGATGGGGAATTATGAAGAACCTTTAAATGACACTAAATTGGTAAATGAATGTTCATCTAGCAAAGGTAGTTCTTTGAAATAGCTGATATACAAATTCATGCAGAAATAAGAATATTGCCCCTTAAAGTGCAATATTCATGCTACTGCTGAGCACTATGTGGTGATTCACTGGGGAAGAATACTCTAAGATCTGGTGCAGAGTGAATGAAATAATTCAATTGCAGCACCAACGTGAAAAAAGGAATTCATTTGTTTGGAAAACAGGTAACACTGTCAATGTTTTGCACATGTTTATTTGAATACCGGATACGGCAGAGCTTGCAGCATCTCAAAACACAAACAACTGAGCAAAAAACAAACCAAAACGTGGTACTTAAATGATCATGGGATGGAGGGACTAATGCATGAGGAAAGATTAATTCTGGGATTTCTTTGGAAGTAAAAAAATCATTAAATTGTTATAAGACAGTTGTTCTAAAGAAGTTGTACTGAGTGTGTTTTAGTGAGAGTTAATATCCAAAAGGAAATAGGCTTATGCAGAGAACTGCCAAAAATGTCCTCCAATCTATCCCTATTATTGGGAAATATCTATATACAGCTGAAATTCTTGTTTCTGTAACCTTTAATTAGGCAAAACACTACATCAAAGGTCAAAAAGTTTTGAACCAAGGTACCTCAAATGAGCTAAATTATGGAATGCATCCAAAATCTGGGATCCGTGACTCTCAAAGGAATGAAATTTGGGAAAGTTGTGGCTGCTTCACTGCTGCTGGGCTGCTACTGTGCTCATATGACCCACATTTTCAACATTGAGCATCAATTTCCAAGCCATCTTTGTAATCCCTTGTTCCCTCTCTCATCACCAGCAGTCACTTAACCACTGGAAAGGGAAGGTGGGAGGAAGCAATCCCCACATGCCTTCCCCAACTGGTGTCCTCCATTTCAGTACTGCCCTTGCATGACTTTCCCAACCCACAGGGCACCTCTCCCACACAATTCCTGATTTACCTGGAGCTTCTTCTGCACACACACCCATGCACCCTTCCCAACTCATGCTGGAATGCTTTCCCTAACCATTGGGGCACCTCATGCACCCTTCCTGTGCAGCCCCTCACGTGCTTTTTCCATGCGGCATATTTTGTATGCCCATACTGCCCCACATGCACCCAACCCACACAGCACCTCTCATGCAACACCATGCACTCTCCCCACTCACATTACTCACCCACACCCCCTATCCAACTTGCATGATATCTTGTGTACACTCATGCAACCTTCCCTACACACACCTCTGAGCACCTTTCATTCTCTTCCTCACTGGCAGCAGCCATTTACCTGCCTGCTGGCCTTTAGCCTGC